AATCCTCGTCTTGGCTCCTTGAAAATATAAGAGTCGTCAGATTGTAACTCCCGATGTTGATTATGAATGCTGTTGAATTTGTAACCTTCATCGATCTACGTGAAAGTCCTCAAATTATAGCCTTCTGGAAGTCGTCAGATTGTAACTTCCATCATCGGTGTTTGATGGGGGATCAATTATCTATTGTGATTTTTAGACAGCCTACATGGACGTAGTTGATGAGTTGCTTGGTAGAGAGCTGCGAGCAAATATTCATCTAAAAACACTATGGATGTTGATTCCTGTCAAGTTCCAACAACGAAAGCTACAATCAAATAGCTTTCGGGTCGACAATCGAAAGCGGCAAATAGAGGACTTTTCACATAGATCGAGAAGAGTTACAATTCAACGACACTTCCGACAACTGATGAAACCTCTATTCAGCAGTCTTCACATTCTACAGTGAAAGTTACAATCTGACGACTTTCACACCCCACAACAGCTAAAGCTAGGATTACTGAACAACGGTCCTCGCAACGCTTCACAGAAGAAGTTACAAGTCAAAAATCTCCTTCTGAAACGCGGATGTCATCCCCACGTTACAATTCTGGAAATGCAGGCGACCCCCGCATTTCCAAGCCACCTGCGCGTTCGTAGGGGTTCAATCAACACCGACCCCCGCGTTTTTTAAGCCACAGGCCAAACGTGAGTGACCCTCGCGTTCGTAGGGGTCCAACCAATATCGACCCCCGCGTTTCCAAGCTACAACAAACCAAAACACGAGCGACCCTCGCGTTCAATGATGTTCAGCCAACACCCAACCTCGCGTCTCAATTCTAAGAGGTGAAGTTAGGTTCTGAACGCCAGATTGGGCGTTTGACTCGTTCAAACACGAGTCGAACGGTTTCAGAACTGTTTCCCCACGATCTGAGGAAATCACGCCCACTTAGGAGCGGATTTAGAGGGCAGTTACAATCTCTTATCCCCCTATAAACACTCAACAAACTCAACTGAGTTCAAGGTTGGAATTTCTTGGCTCAGATCGACCACTGAAGGCGGGCTTTCGTTAGAACAAGGAGGCGGCGGGTTTAGATTTTTTTGGCATCTGAACCGTACAGGTTGGATTTGGAGGATCAAAACCACTTGGGTTTGTTGATTCAGCAACAGCAGCAGCAAAATCCTTAGAGATAGGATTTTTGAATCAAGTTCAGAAGATCAAATCTGAAAAGATTATTCAACAACAGAATATCAGCTTGGTCATTAACCGAATTATCGGTTCTAACAACTCTATTAACAGAGTTCTAACTCGTTCAGAGTTCTTAAACTCATTCAGAGTTAAACATCAAACTTTCCACAGAAGTTCATCGTTCCCACGAGAAAAAAACTTGGCTGGACATGTAGTGGGCCGGGCTTGACCTAGCCCATGATATACCCAGCTCATAGGTAGGGCTGGGTCCAGCTCCAACCCTGGGGTCAGAGAAGTAGGCTTGGCCCACGCCCGACCCGACCTATGATATTATTTTTTTGAAATTTAAGCCACTCAAATAATCAACCTGTCTTTAAAATAAAAAATATAAACCTAATGTGTCACTTGTTGGGTTGAAGAGTTAATAACTACTCTTTTTATTTGGGCTATTTGGGAGACTTCTTCATAGTTTTGTTAACAAGTCCTTTAAAAACATATTAACTTTTTTTCTAGTCATAATTAGAAGTTTAGTGCTTATGAATAAAGATTTTGTTAACAAGTCATTTAAAAATATATTAATGATTAGTGCTTCTATTACAACAAAGAGATGAGATTTATGGTCAAACAAGGATGTTATGGTAATTTACCATCTAAAGATGAAGATACCGAAAGATTATCTGCATAGGCTTAAAAAAGCCATGGTCCAAACCAGCTTAGAGGCCCAAAAGCCCAGCCAAGGGCAAGTCTATCGGCCAGCCGGGCATACAAGTTATTTTTGACCAAGGGTCATCATTATCGACTCGAAGTGCGGGATCAGTCGGTCCCTCGTAATTAAGACGACTCCTCGAGCAAACGTCTCGACCATACACTCGACCCGAAGCTCACTCGACTGTCGGGTCAGTAAATCATAAAGACAACTCATGAACTAACCCGCCTCTACTAAGGGGATGAGATCCAGCTAAGCTCGCTTCAGATGTCAATTAGCACTATAGCATTGATCAGTCCCATCAAGATCTCCACTCTGACAAACCCCATGTATAAACCACTTATTCTACTCACAAGTCATTTCTCAGGGATCACCATGATGCTCCTCTGGGCTCGAATGACTTCCCCTCCAATCACCAGCCGCCATCTGGAGGGGGAAGGACGACCAAGCAGCTGGCCTATCCTCTGCCCTGCCTCATCTGTCAAATCCAGGATACTAAGAAGACATTTCTCTCCTATACTCGAATGACTTCCCTTCCAATCGCCAGCCGACATCTGGAAGGAGAAGGATGACTCAGCAGCCTGCCTGCTCACCCCTTAACTGCCTCCTTGCATAGTCAAAGCCAAAGGGTCAAACTCTCAGAGGCGATGAGCTATAAAAGGAGGGAAAGAAGGTAAACGAGGGAGGATTTTTTTCTGCCACTTCTTCACAAAAGCTCTGAATTTACCTTTGCTAAAAAAACTAATAACTCTCAAAGAGTACCCTCTAAGGACCTCAATGGCTCAGGGATTCTCCCTCAAACCCCACTCAAGCTCACCAGCTGACTTAACCGTCGGAGGCACCATGAGGGAAATGAGCCCCGCCCTCTCACGGTTTTTTTTTTCTTGTTTTTGTAGAATAATCAGGAATTTTAGTCTAAGGATCGGGCATAAAGTCGGAGGAGGAGTCGGCACCATCTCTCATCCTCTCCCTATTCACCGCTAGCGCAAAGACCAGAACCGTAACCCCCTCGACTGTGTGATATCAGACATTAACAAAGGATATAGTTTAATAAGTATTAATACAAGTAAAGATAGAAAAGAAAAAAAATAAAAAGGAAAAAATACAGCCGGTGGGCCGACCCGTGACCCAAGCCGCATTGAGCCTAGTCAATCCCGACCCGGACTCATGCGGCCCATAGACTAGGCTGGGTCCAGCCCCAGGCCCGGGGTCAGAGAAGTCGGGCTAGCCCAATCTGACCCGGCTGAGCCCGGGGTAGGCCTAGGTAGGCTTAATCTCGGTTGGGCCGATTAATGGGCCTAAATCGGCCCGGCCAACGCCCACCCCTAATTTCACCAAACGTGCCAAACACCCAAACATATCCATGTGAATCGTAAAATTTATAATGATCTTATGACCCAAAGATGTAGCATCTCTTTTACTCGTTTCATAATTTTTGACAGAGCTACACTTCAAGCATCAATTTGTCACAACATATCAACAATATGTCTATACTACAAAAATGATGATTCCCAGTGATCACAAAAAAATTCAGTGCAAAGATCATAGTTCACATGATCATAGTGCAAAGAACAATAATTCACATCACAAAGAACAATTATTGCCAATAAAATTTAAAAGGAAAAACCACAAGCATCAAAGAACCGAGGCAGTGGTTCACATCACTAAAATTATAACTGAAAAATATTACCATAAAATAAAAAATTATAGAAGTTATGTATGAAATTGCCGAATTTGCACCAACCAAGCAACATGAACAATAATTCGCCAAGAAAGGCATTGCCTTTTTTTGAGATCCAGGAAAAATCACAAAAAGAGGGGAAGAAATTAGCAATCCTGCAAAGATCCGAGAAGGCGAAGAAAGAAAAAAGGGGGAAAACCACAAGCATCAAAGAATCGAGGCATGAAGAGAGAAAAAGGGGAAATAACCGCATGACTCAAAGAACCGAGGTGTGTGGTAGGAGGGAGGAGTGGCTATAGCCCTAGCTATCACAGATTCCCCCCTATTTCCTTGCAGATCTGACAAAAATATAGCTGAAGAGAGTTTTTTTATTGATTTTCTCTCATTTTAGATGGAAATGGGGAAACAAGAGAGGCTTATGTGGAGGCGATTTTTAGGGTTTCCAGCCCTAAGAGAGGAAGCAAACCAAAGTGAGGAAATGAAAACTCTAGAAACAATTTAGTTGAGGTGGAAGGATTGTCATAGTTGGGAAAGGGATTTCTTTCGTGTTTTAAGCGAACCAAACATCCCCTAGATGAAATGATCTTCATGAAAATAATTCAAGAGTAGAACTTTGTCTCCATAAAATAAAAGCTTTTTTATATAGAATATGTAACAATTGAAATTAGGGTTGGGTGTGGGCCAAGTCAACCCGTGGGCTGACCTCGCCTGGCCCGCTATGGGTCATGACTCGAGTGGGTGGGCCCAACCTGGCCTATGATATACACGAGTCTTAGGTCGGGTCTAACTCCAGACCCAGGACTAGAGAAATAGGTCCGACCCACCTTAACCTAGCCCACCATCGACCCGATCCGAAATTTTAATTATTAGTTTTTAGTTAACATTTTTTTTCTTTTTTCTTCTTGTATTTATAATTTAAATTTAAACTAAACGAAAGTTATTAACTTTCCATGGACGTAGGTCTTCCTTCGAAGTCCGAACCAGTATATCTTTATGTTTACAATGTTTTTCTGTGTGATGTTTATCTTTGTACAATATGTGTGTACATAATAAAAAATAAAATAGAAAAAATAATTTAAATATAATTTTATAGATACTAATACAAAATTAATATAGTTTAAAAAATTAAAAATAAAAAATTAGAAAAAAGTTAAAAAACCCACGGGCTAACCCATAACCTATGGCCCATGGGCCGGGCCCGACCCGGCCCACCCCTATGCAAGTTGTGGGTCACGCCAGGTTCAATCATAAACTCGAGATTAGAGAAATATGCCCGACATACTCTGATCCGGGTGGACCCTGATCGGACCCGGCCTGGTCTTGAACACGACGGGCCTGGTCACGGGCCGGAACCAGCCCGGTCATGGACCAATCACGATCTGAAATTGCAACCGTCAATCCTCTTTCTCTATCACAGCTACCTTTGCGCGCACACACCACCACCCGAAACCCCTGCCTCCCCCTCTCACCTTACTCCGCATGACCATGGATGCCCTCCTCACCAACCCCTCTCTCTCCCGCTCAAATTCCTCCCGAAACCAACCCTCTCTTCACCCCGCACCCCTCAACCCTACTCACCCCCACCGCAACCCCTCTCTCCGCCGCCTCCCCTCCCTCTCCGCCTTCCAGGACAACAGTTCTCGATCCCGCCAAATTCAAGAATCTCCCGCATCACCGTCGTCAGAAGAGGATGGTTCGAGAGGTGAACAGGATCATCGGAAGCCGAACTATCTCCGCTCCCCCGTCTTCGCCGACGACGGCTCCGCCACGACCTCCACCGCTACCGAGTACCTCATCGAAGGAAAGACGGACAGACCCCTCGTGGGTCCCGTCAACCAACATTGCTGCGGACGTTGTCGCGGAGTACGAGACGCCGTGGGCCCCGCGAGGAAAGCTGATGCCAAGCGTTGAAGACGCTGCATCGACGATGAGTCGACGTCTCAGGGACCCGACGTGGAGGATTCGGACGGCGTACGCGCTGCATTTTTGCGGCGGGCTCGGTCGGAGGAGTGCGTGAGGGTGTTGGCGAGGCTGGTGGTGATGTCATAGGAAAGAGCGGGCTGGTGGTGGCTCTCCGGCCCTTGCACGTTGCGGCCGGGTACCCATCACGAAGATCGTGTTTACTACTTACTAGTTTATAATGCTGGCTCAGTTTCTAATTGCCTACGACCTCTGACTTCTGATGTAGAAGCGTTCTTGGATATAATTAGACACCCCCGAGTCTTTCATATTTTGAATTTAGCCCCTAAAGCCATCGGACTTCACAACTCTTCTCGCACAACGTTCTAAACTGTGATCAAGTAGAATAAGTCACAGAAAATCTACCCATGATTTATACGGTTATATATGCCAGTTATCACTGTGAGGAGTTTATAGCTTTAAAATTGTTTGGTCGTACGGTATCCCCTATATTCAGTTTGGATCACAGAGCTACTTGAAAATAGAGAACGATTTACGGGAGTATAAAATTATAGCTCCTTAAATCAGAACACTTTTACTTTTCTTGCAAAAAAAAAAAAAAAAAAATCTGAACCATTCATGTTTTCTTCGGTTAGGTATGCGAGGCCGGGAGCAGTGAAGGCACTACTAGAACTAGGCGCGGACCCCTACAGAGCCGATGACAGAGGCCGAACCGCAATCGACCTAGCAAAAGAAGTCCTGGCCGCGACGCCCAAGGGGAACCCCGCAGCGTTCGGACGCAGAATTGGGCTTGAAGGAGCGATCAAGGAGATGGAGAAGTTCGTGTACGAGTGGGCAGAGGTCGAGAGAGTGATCGAAGGGCGAGGCAAAGGTGAGAGGAGAGAGTACTTGATCGAGTGGAGGGACGGCGGGGAGCGGGAGTGGGTGAAGAAGCGGTGGGTGGCCGAGGATTTGGTGCGGGATTTCGAGGCAGGGCTCGAGTATGGAGTTGCAGAGAAGGTCGTGGGGATGAGGGAAGGTGAGGAGGGGGGGAGAGAGTATCTGGTGAAGTGGGTGGATATTGAGGAGGCTACATGGGAGCCTGAGGAGAACGTGGATGGAGAGTTGATAGGGGAGTTTAAGAGAGGAGAGGAGGGGAAGGTTGAGGTGAAGGAATCAGAGGAGAGAGCTGTGGGTTGAGGTGTTTTTCCGGACTAAATTTGTTTTTTTTATTAATTTTTTTAGTTGGTTCTGCAATTGAGGGGTTCAATTTTTGAAGAGAATTTGCGCGTTGATGAAATTTTGACATGGCTGGTTTTAGTTCGGACTTTGTTTTTATAGCATATTAGTACATACCAACGTAACACATTTTGCAACGTCGAGGCTAAACATTCGAAGCCCCCAACCACCCATTAGTCATGAATTTATTGACATTTATATTTGTTTTTCTCTCCATAAATTTCATACTTGTATAACTAATAGATTGATTTTCTTCCCCCTAATTGGAGGTGAAATCGGCCGTCTGATTGTTTCCTCCAAACAAAAGCAATACAATTTTTTATCAATTATCACTTATAAAATGTTGTTGATTGCGAGGTATCGTGGTTACTATAATTGAGAAACTGACTACACTGTCTAAATTCTCACTTTCTCTATATTATTATTATTTTAGGGTTTTTCTTTTGTGCATTTGAGCATTCATATGTAGTATAATTTTGTGCAACTCTTGAGATCCAAGTGGAATGTTTATGGAAGTAGATTAGTCATGAAATAATTAGTGCATAATTGATGAAGAGAATTTGATTAGTCAGTGAGAGGAGATATATGACTGCTTTACTTGTGGGTTCATTTTCTCACTAATATTCATAATAAATGCATTATTAATAGGCTTGTAAGGGCAGATGTCATAAATTACTTTGTTAGTCAGGATCTATTTATTGCAATAGTTTCTTTATGAGGGGAAAAAAATATTGGGACACATCCAAACTAAATTGAAAATCTAGAAGCACAATAAAAGAATGTGGATTAAAGTTGCTCCTTATCAGGTTGCAAAACATTGTGCAAAAATGACGGTGGGTCTTCGAGCCATACCACAAAATCATCAATTTCTCTCTTCGGACCACCACATGAGCCATTATGTTCCTGGTTTAACAAACTACCTAAAAATCTCCTTCCTCAAGTCATGTGTAACATTGTTGAATGTCATCCATAAAATATCCGAAAATCAAGAGTTGCTCCACTTCATTTTAGATATCTTTAATTATAGCCTCCACAACTTCGCTGAAAATTGCCTTCCATATCCAGTGTTAATAGCAAATGCAATAGTTTCCCACACTGCTTGAAATTTCGCATGCTCAGAATTACCTCGAATCTAAATATTATAATGAGTATATGGAAATACTTAGTAATGTATATTATGATAATTTTATACGCTATTTGTAGAAATATTAATATATTATAGTATTAGAAGGTTTACATCTATATTAGTATTCCTTTCCATGAATTTTTTATATATCAGAAACACATATTAATATATTATAGTATTAGATTAGATGTTAAATTTTTTACTTAAATATTAAATTATCTTAAATTACAATATAATTTATAAATATAAGTTATGATTATTATCTTATATATTAATATTGTATATTTATTATATAATACATAATATCTAAAGTGAAATATTTATCTTATAATTTATTGTATATTTTATCTTTTACTCCTGAGAGTAGATGAAAAACAATAAGCAGTTAACAAACAATTATATGGAGTACAATGACAATTTTGTCATATACTCCTATAATTTTGTCATATACTCTTAAGCACGAGATGACAATCAAAACCCAACCTGCTATTACACTCTTTTTACATAGAGAGTGATTAATGATATAATTCAATATTTTAATGATTTATAGACTTTGTAATTGACGGTTCCATTTTTGAAGACATTCATGGGATAATCCAAAATATAAGGGGGCTCAAAATTTGAAGACATATGGATAATCTAGTATCTTACGTAGCGTTTGGATACCATGATGTTTTTATTATTTTCATGGTGATTTTGTCAAAAATAAAACACTGTGTTTGAAAACTATCATGTTTTTTTATTAAGACATCCTCAAACCAAAAACACTACACTTATTTTAAAATAGCTTTTAAACGTTTTGAGTTTGGTGTTTTAGTTTTGAATTTGAAGGGTTGTTAATACGATACTAATATAATATATTATATGTGATTAATATAATTTATTATCAATGTGATTATTATATTATATTATCTTATAGGAAATCGAATACATTGCTAATATTTAGTAAATAAAATAAAATATATTAATAATTAAAATATTTGTATAATAATAATATAATAACATATTATATACGAATATTTAATATCTTGATAATACATTAATGATGTATTACATACTAATATTTAGTATGTTGATAATGTATTATATAGTAAAATAGTTAATTAATATAATGATAGATAATAATAAAATAAATATATATTAGTACAAATACTATATAGTAAATTATTAATAATAAAGAATAATATAACAATAATATAATAATATACTATACATAAAATAATATTTTATTATATAATTATTATAATATTATTAATGTAAAACAATCAAAATAATATAATGATAGATAATAATAAAATAAACATATATTAGTACAGAATACTATATAGTAAATTATTAATAATAAATAATAATATAACAACGATAGAATAACATGCTACTTAATAAAATAATATTATATTACATAATTATTATAATACTATTAATGTTTAATAAATAATTATAAAATGTTATATAATGGTAATCTATTTAATAATTAAATAATAATAGAATAATACTATATTATATAGCATATATTATATAATAAATGTAATGTAATATATTTTATATAAAATATTAATATATTATATAATAAATAATATAATATATTATATTGTAAAATAATTAATTGTGTTAATATCAGTTATCAAACAGGGGGTTTGTGTGAGGATTATGAGAGTGTTAGGTCCTCAAACTCCTTCAAATGGCAGATTATGGGGTACTGTTCTCTCTTGCACATAAAGACCTCATAAGAGGGCGGAGATGAGATATCCGATTGTTCCTTCAATGATCAAGTCAGTAATTGATCTTGAGTGGGAAATATCAAGATAGGGTAATTCAAAGTTGTATGAAAAAAACTAAGGAGCTTATCTCGTGCAATCCTGCTCCCTTTTATAGTGGATTAGAAGGACAAAGAGGTAACTTGGGCTGGGTACAACTAGGCAGCTAAGCCGACAATCATCTTCCAGGTGTTGGTCACGGAAGAGGTTAAGTCGTCTGTCATTTAAAGAGGGAATGACAGTAGGTGCTTGGTGCTGATTGGGTTTGATGAGTCATAAAGACTATGGGGGCTTAAGTAATGATGATTTATCAGAGCAATTAATGCAAGGGTAGTCAGCTAGCTAGGGTTTTGAGATAACTGTCATTTCTCTATTTATTTGGCCAAGGGTCGACTAGCATCGCTTTTGACTCGGCTACGCGAGTTATCGACTGAACAGTATGCCGAGTACGAGTCGATTTGGTGGGTTGGTTGACAAGTACTGCCTTTTGACTCGGCTACGCAAGTTGTCGGCCAATCGAGTCGGGTAGGGAAATGGCTTGAGTCGTCTCGGTTAGGAATTTATTTGATTATGTGTAGGGACACGTGTCAGCATCTTAATAGAGATTAATACTTAGTAATTTTTGGGTCATTATAGTTGGCCCCTTTCACTTGGACTCGGTGTAGGCCGAGTCCAAGTGAAATCACGGTTTGTCGAGTCATGGGATGCATTAATGATGGGCGACTGGAAAGTCATTTTGGATGTCACGTTACTGATGCCAAAGGATAATTCTTAGCTGTTGTCACCTCATCTTCCATGCCTGGTTCTTGGCTAATTAAGCTAGCAATGCCTCGATTCTAGAGTGGTTGCTTTGGATTCTAGGGTTAAGCTTGGCCGTTAGCTTAGAGCTTAATCGATCGTTAAGATCTTGACAGCTGTTTGACTTAGCTACCTATAAATATAGCTGTTGTGGTGTCGGGGAAGGTGTTATTTTTCGAAGATTCTTGAACCCTAACCGTAAAAGACTCAAATTCTTCATCTTCTTTTCCGCTGATCTTTAGAATGATTTTGATGGTGACTCCGGCGGCTTCTGCACTTATGGTTTGATAGCGCCAGTTGGAGAAGTTTCACTCCACAGTGACAGCGCCATAGCTGAGGCCGCTACATAAGAGGTTCGACATTCCACTAGCGTTCATTCTGACAGCACCGTTGAAGTCCCAGGCAGTCTTCGACCATGATGTAAGTCAAGCTCCGGTGTACATAAGGCATTTAGAATATAGCTTAAGTCTGCCGTTGCATCCCTTTATCCATCATGTTTTTGAGGCTTTAAGGATATCATCGATGAAGATGAAGCCAAATTTAATTGCTACCTTGCTGCTGTTTGTCATCATTTAACACTGGTTGGGATTCAACCGACTTTAAACTTGCTTGGCCACCTCGTCAACATCAAGGTGCATCAGTAAGAAGCTCATTTCTAA